ATATTTATTTATTTATCTGGCTGCATCAGGTGTTAGTTGCCACACATGGGATCTTCGTTCTTTGTTGTGGCATGTGGGATCTTTAGTTGCAACATGTGGACTCTTGGTTACAGCCTGTGGGATCTAGTTCCTTGACCAGGGATCAACATGGGGCCCCCTGTGTTGGGAGAATAGAGTCTTAGCCACTGGACCACCATGGAAATCTCAGAGAAAACATTTTATGAACGTCCTGAGCATCAGTTCTTCCTTCCAGCCCACTGCTGGGAGCAGCGTCTCAGTTTCTCTTCTAAAGAACTCTCCTCTTCCACACTCTCACCCACATGCTCCATGTAAGAGCTGACTTCCTCTCTGGCTCCAGAGTTGGACACGTGCTCTGCTCCAACCAAGCAAAACATCACCTTCTCCTGACTATAGTGACTGGTTTAGGAGTGGGCAAGTGACCATTTCAGAACCAAGGAGACAAATGAGACAGAAAAGCGGAGTTTATAAAGGCAAGTGCTTTTCTGTTAGGACAGCAAGCAATACAAGCTGCAAACTGCTGAAGGCCTGGAATTAGCTAAATGCATTGGAAAATAGAGACAGAAAATGGGAGAGAGTCAAATCCTGATGACATGGGTTAAGCCCCTGGATCCAGCTTGAGTCTGAAGCCATTTATGTCATTGCTTCCTTCAGTCGTCAGAGCATGTAAATTCCATTTCTTGCCCATGTCAATTAGAGTTTGGTTATCTGTCACTTGCATCTGGAAGAGTTCTGACAGATAAATGAATGAATGAAAAAGTCTACCAGAAAACTTGAGGCATAGAGAAAAGGATTCTGTGCTAAAAGTCAGGGTGGTATGTTGCTATTTACTAACTATGTGACTCTATGCAAGTTGCCTGATGTCTGTGGACTTCAATTTAGAACTCTGATAAGCATTCACTTGGGACTTCCCCGGTGGCTCAATGGTAAAGAATCTGCCTGCAATGCAGGATACCCGGGTTCGATCCCTGGGTTGGGAAGATCCCCTGGAGGAGAAAATGGCAACCCACTCCAGTACTCTTGCCTGGAGAACCCCCTTGGACAGAGGAGCCTGGCAGGCTATAGTCCACAGGGTCCAAAGAGTCAGACATGACTGAAGCAACTGAGCAAGCAAGCAAATCATTCCTTGATTCAACAAATATTGACAGCATTTATTGTGCCAGGCACCATGCTAGGTACTGATGGGCTCTACTCTAGTAACAAGGCCCTGATGGTTCCTATTTTTGTGAAAATGAAAAGTTCAGTTCTAGAAAAATAAAATTGATTGTGTCATGGCAACATCTGTTTGCGGTAGAAGTCTCTACCACTTAGTAACTGGTAGCTATTAATATCCTTCTACTCCTTGTCAGCTAACTAATATTGTAAGGTTAGCTATAGGAGAGGCAAGAAATAGAGCCTAGTGTAATGGGGGTAGGGGTACCACGCACTTCACTTCCTTCTCTGGCTTGGGACCAATCAGAAATCATGTTTATGAGCCTAATTATACCCAGCACTGAGCTAAAGGGTGTAATGACAGCCTTGGGTGCGCTTGGGTCCAATCTTCTGAGACCTTTAGCTCTAAGAATGAAAAGCCAACATGCTACCAAGTACAGTTTTTTTTCTGGCCTCTGGCAAAGAGACTTTTCTGAGTTAAATACGCTCATCAGTATTCCCAAGAATCAGGCTTAGAAATGCAACTACTTAAGCATGATCTCTTTCAATTCTTATTATAAGGAACTAATAATGCCAACTGCAGTTGGATTTTCAATCCTAAAGGGAATTCACAGCTTGGGTTGAAGTGGCAGAATGTCAGATCTAAACCCAGTAAAACAGTGTAAGTTCAGCAGGCCCAAGGTAGCTAGAGCCATACTCCGCTTTCTATTCTTTATTTACTCATTTAACAAATACTTATCAAATACCCACTCTGAACCAGCACCGTCATGGAGCAGCAGCTGTCCCATGAAAGGACAGCCCCAGAGTGAATGAATCCAGAGGCAACTACTCAAATACGAGCCCACTCCTGCATGCCAGGTGTGTACACCTAAGCCCAGCCAGATGTTAATAAGCCAGTCTTTACTCATAAATCAGCTCATGTGCTCTGGTCTAAACCAGGTTCTTGCCTGTTCCCATAATTATTGCTGCATTTTTAAATGACCTCAAAGCTTAGTGGTTGGGTACTGAATGCCACTGAACTGTACACTTAAAAATGGTTAAAATGGTAAATTTTATAGTACATTTAACCACAATGAAGAATTATGGAAGGATTAAAAAAAAAACTTAAGGGTTTGAAACAACCATTTAACTATGCTCACAGATTCAGGGGAGAGGGGTCAGAATTGGGGGCAAGGCGCAGTGGGGAGGGTTCATCTCTGCTCCACAGGGCCTGGGTCTCAGGTGGAAAAACTCAAAGACTGAGAGGAGGGGTTAGTGTCTGTGTGCTGGAACTGTGTGAAGGCTCTTTCATTTATGTGTCTGGCTTGACTCAAAAACTAGGACTGTCTACTGGGGCACCCACGTGTGGCCTTTCCTTGTGGTTTGGATTCCTCAAAACATAGTGGCCTCAGGGTAGTCAGACTTTGTATATGGCAGCTCAGAACTCCAAACATAAGTGTCTCACTGGGGGAGAAAAGGCAGAACTTGCATCCTATTTATGACCTAGCCTTGGAACTTCTGTCATGCTGAATATTGGTCAAAGCAGTCATAAGCCTATCCAAATTCAAGGCTGATGTGGGCAGAGTTAGACCCCAGGTTTTAATGGGGGAACATCAACAACACATAGTGGAAAAACATGTCTGGAAGAAGATATTGTTACAGTCATTTTTTAAAAATACAGCCTGTCATACCACCTTTAAAAATGGGCCAAAAGCAGGGCACTTCCCTGGAGATCCAGCAGCTAAGACTCTGTGCTCCCAAAGCAGGAAGCCTGGGTTCAATCCCTGGTCAGTGAAGTTGATCCCACATTCTGCAACTAAGTGTGTGAATGCAACTAAAGATCCCACATGTCGCAACTAGGACCTGGCACAGCCAAATAAGTAAATAAATATAAATAAAAGGGTTTTTTTTTTTTAAATAAAATGGACCAAAAGCAAAGAAGCTACAGAGGAATTGCTTTAGAGAAACAGTCCTGGAAGAGATGAACACATACTCTGCCTACCCTAGGGATTAGCAGTTCATGCCTGAGAGGATCCCTCCCCAGGCTGGGCAAGTTCCAAGGGGGTCCTGCTGAGCGTACAGAGTTGCTGGTGTCTAGCTGGAGTTCTGCCAGTCCCTAACTGAGTGTGATCTCATGGTAGTAAGGCTTTTCATTGCTGAATTTCCTCACCTTTAAAATAGAGGCGGAGTTCCCTATTGGCCTAGGGGTTAGGATTCAGGGCTTTCACTCCTGCAGCCGGGGTTCAATCCCTGGTCAGGGAACTGAGATGCTGCAAGGCGCATGGTGTGGCCAAAATATTGGAAAAAATTAAATGGAGGTAATTTTTCATCATGTTTCATCAATATTGTTGCAAAACCAAGTAAACTATTGTATGTAAGGAAAATGGGTTGCAAACTGCCCACAAATTGACCCCATATGTGGACAGCCCATTCTGACAATAAAACTGGGGCAGAGCATATGCTGCCGGTTTTCTTTGCCACCACTCTCTCCATAACAACCACCCTCCTGTTTTGTTTGCCAGTCTCAGATGTAGGGAAGAGAGATGAAGGTCAGAGAGGGCAAGTGACCAAGACAGGGTCATAGAGCCAAGAAAATAAGCTCTTGAAAATATCTAACCACTTGATGACCTGTCCTACCAGTTTTTCCCCAGCACTAAGAGCCTCATTTCTGCTCCCCATCCTGAACTAGTTTCACAGGGTATTGAAGGTCAGCAGGTACAGAAGTCCATCATGATTTAATTTTTGTAGAGATAGGTGGCAAGTGTCCATAGTGTGTGAAAGTGTTAGTTGGTCAGTCGTGTCCAACTCTCTGCAACCCCATGGACTGTAGCCCACCAGGCTCCTCTGTCCATGGGATTCTCCAGGCAAGAATACTGGAGTGGGTTGCCATTTCCTCTACCAGGGGATCTTCCCAACCCAGGGATCAGACCCAGGTCTCTGCATTGTAGGCAGATTCTTTACTATCTGAGCCACCAGGGAAGTAAATGCCCATGGTAAGTGCCAATCTGTAGTTGGCAGTATCCTAGCTACTCGCTAGCTGTGTGGCCTTGGGAAAGATTATATTCCCCCATGTGTAAAATGGGAGTAAGATCTCCCACAAAGGGTTAAGAAGTTACCAAGTTTACATAAGGCACTTAAAACGGTGCCTCCTGTATATATCAAGCACTTTGTGTTTGCTGCTGCTAAAACCACTACCTTGTACTTAGTATATAAATAACATGCAAGAATGTAATGAAATGTAATGGCTAAACTATCTCCCTGAAATGATAATTCATTTGGGGGAATTCCCTGGTCATCCAGTGTAAGGCTGGGGCTTTCACTGCTCTGCCGAACTTGGGGAACTAAGATCCCACAAGCCCGCCCATCCAGAGAAGAAGAATAAGGAAAAAAAAAAAAAAAAGTTCAGTTTGGAGAAAGGTTTTAAAAACAATCCTAAAACCTCTACCATTGTCAGCTCTAAGAACATGGAGGAAAAATAAAGGTTGGTGTAAATTTGGCTCTGACCTTTACAGTTCCAATTTCATTTATTTATTCATTACTCCCAGGCAGCCCGCAGACATCGTCATGGATGTCTTCTAAAACCCATTCACACCACGTACACAGCAGCCTAGCCCTCGTAGACTCCTGACCCGGCTGCCTCGGAGCAACTGTTTCCCCACCCTTTTCCCGTTCGGCGCTTTCGAATGACGTCAGAAGCGGGCGACAACCCCTAAGGAAGCGGTGGCTAGCGCCCGCTCTGCCCCAAGCTGCGGCCCGGAGCCCTTCTCGGAGCGTGCCGGCCGAAGGGCTGCGGGGGATTCCAGACCCGCCGGGGCAGGTCTGTAGCGTGAGGCGTCGCTGCGCCGAAGACCATGAACCGCAGCCGCCAGGTGACGTGCGTGGCCTGGGTCCGCTGCGGCGTGGCCAAAGAGACGCCAGACAAGGTGAGGCCTGGTCGCTATAGGGGGAGCGGCCTCTGCAGCATCCTGGGTCAGCGCCGCCTGGGAACCTGGACCCGGAACGCGCGGCCCTGGCGCCGCTAGTGGGACTGTCGGGGTTGGGGCCGGCTGTGGCCTCTTTGCCGTGGCTAGGGCTATGGCTCCGAGGGTCTGGGACTCCTGGCCCCTTGGGCCCCGCCCCCTAGCCGTCCCTTCCCCCGCGATTCGCACGCACGTGGACCTCGTTGGCTGGAAGGAGGCGGGATGGTGCTTGCTGAGCACTTCCCGCGAGCCCTCTTGACAACGCCACATAGTCTGCCATCACCCTAGTGCGTTTTCAGGCAAACCGGGAAGAGGGGGCACATATCTCCGCTCGGCGTTTAGAGGAATGAACTGGATGAAAACCACGTTGGATGCATGAGACAAGTGCTCGGGCCTGGTGCACTGGGAAGACCCAGAGGGATCGGGTAGAGAGGGAGGTGGGAGGGGGGATCGGGATGGGGAATACATGTAAATCCATGGCTGATTCATGTCAATGTATGACAAAAACCACTACAATACTGTAAAGTAATTAGCCTCCAACTAATAAAAAAAAAATGATAATACAAAAAAAAAGAAAACCACGGTGTAGAAAAACTGATGTGGAGACTACGGTGTCGTGAGCCCTAGAGTTGAATTAGGAGTTTCTCGCAGTAGTGCAAATGAAATGTTGATGAGGCCATGGGGGTAGGGGGGTAGAGGTAAACGGTAACACGTTATGAAGGGGTAAAGCCTACAGGAGAGACTGAGTCTGTAGCCGAGGAAATTACCTAAGTTATTCAACAGATATTTAACGAATATCTCTGTTCCCAGCATTGTTCGGGGTCCTGGGATAGGCATGAGCAAAACAGGAAAAGTCCCTGCCTTTATAGAGTTGACATGTGCATATATAATTCTTTGTCAGTGGGAATAGATGTTAATGAAAAAAACGGGCGGGGTAGTGTTTGTTTCAGGTTATTAAGCCAGTTCCACCAGGACATAGACTTTTATTCTCCAGTTTCTCCAGCATTTGGCACACGGTAGGCATTCAGTGTGGCGCTAATGGTAAAGAACCTACCTGCCAATGCAGGAGACATAAGAGAGGCGGGTTCGATCCCTGGGTAGGGAAGATCCCCCTGGAGGAGGGCATGGCAACCCACTCCAGTATTCTTGCCTGGAGAATCCAATGGACATAGGAGCCTGGCAGAGGACAGTCCATCTGATTGCAAAGAGTCAGACACGACTGAGCATGCATATAGAATAGAACAGGAAATGATATATTAAAAATTACTGAAGGAAGCAAGAGTTGTAAAAAGGGGACCAGAGACTTTCAAATACTTGAGGACACTGATTTCCAAACATGTCCACACATTGAAACCACCTGGGGAGCTTCAAAAACTACCAGCTCCCAGGTATTGTGATTTATTTAGTTTGGAGATTAAGAGTCCTTAATTTAGCCTGAGATTAAGAGTCCTTCAGGTGATTCTAATGTACAGACAGATTTGAGAACCATTGCTTAAGAGTTTGTAGGAAGAAGAGATTGGATTTATTCTACAAAGTCCCAGAAAGAAAAATTCAAAGCAGTAAGAGAAATTAGAAAAATAAGTATCTCCTAATTAAAATTTTAAGAACCTTTAGTTTCTGGAGTTATCCAATAGGATTTCTGTATTATTAAAGGCATTTTGGTACAAACTGGGTGGTTGATTGGTTCATCATCTATCAAGAATGGATGGAACACAGTAAGCTTACAGTTTGGCACTAAAGAGGATGACCAGTTTTGAATAGGATGTCCAAGTGGAGAGTCTTATAGATAGTCAGAAAAATGGAACTACAGTGCACAGGGATAGAGAAGGGAAAGTTGAGTAATCCATCCAGAGAGAATGAGCTTTGCAAGGTGGTGACAGTACAGTGAGTGAATTCTTGGCAGTGATGCCAGGGAACAGGGCAGGGGACGAAGGCAGGAGTGCTTTGTTTGGGAATATCCGCAGGGAACATGGGGAGAGTGGCCGCCGAGGTGAGGTAATCAGAAGAAAATGAGATGAGCTGTCACAGAAGGCAGTCTATAGAAGTCCATCTTTTAAGTCTGGAGAGAACATGATTTTTGAACAGTTCTGGGTGAGAAGAGATCTTCATTTATAAGGACATGTCAGAAGTCCATTTATGTTAAATTTAGAGACTTTAGATTGATATTTGACTCTGGATGTCTCTCAAAACCATGTTTTAGATTAGTTTGCAATCTTTTTAATTCAGAGACTTAAAAATGGTTTCCTTAAATATATCATAATGAAATGTTTGCTCTCTTATAGGTAGAACTTAGTAAAGAAGAAGTGAAACGTCTCATTACTGAAGCAAAGGAAAAATTACAGTAAGTTTGGGGATGTTGATTCCTGTAGTCAAGTCTAGATAAAATGTAAATCTAAAACTATGATAACAAGGTGGTCTTATTATTGAATGGTGCCTTTTGGCTGATCTTTTTACTTTTTCTTTTTTCTCTGGCGTAGAGAAGAAGGTGGCAGTGATGAAGAAGAAACGGGCGATCCTTCGGAGGATGGCATGCAGAGTGCCCGTACCCAGGCCCGACCACGGGGGCCCCTGGAGGATGGCGACCCAGAAGATGACAGGACGCTGCATGATGACGAGCTGGCCGAGTACGACTTAGATAAATATGATGAGGAAGGCGACCCAGGTTAGAATTTAGTCACTTATACTGGTTTTTAGTCACAAACTCAGTGCATTAGATCATGATACTAGCGTTCCAAAGCTTTACTCTGAAATCCCATCGTCCTTTATGTCAGTCAGATAATCTGGGTCAAGGCTCAAGGCAGACAGCATGTTTCCTACACCGGTTTAAAAAAATCAGTTCAACCCACTTATCTAAGATCTAAAATACAAAACAAAAAAAATTAGTATTGTGTATTTTATTGCAAGTAGTGGTTAATCTGTAATTCATTTTTCTTTATCTGGAATAATGAGAGAGGAATTATTAGCTCCATTTTACAAAAAAAAATACAGGCTTACAGAGGTGAAATAACTTGGCCAGTGTCACACAGCTGGTGAATAATGGAGCTGAGGTTTTAGTATTCTCTGACTCTAAACCTTCATGCTTTTCAGTGTACTTCCTCAGATGCAGGGCATACTTTTTCCACTGGACTCTGGGCTGTAGGTCCCGCTCTGGGTGGCTTCCATCCTGTTAGGACCGAGCACCATGGAAATGCAGAAAAGGGAGAGCTGACCAGCCCAGAGCAAAGCCATTCAGACGCTTGCTTCCTAATACTCTCCACACCCCACCGGGCACTGGCTCCATCTGCCTTGTTCCGTAGAAATTCCCGTCTGTTACCTGTCAGGTGTTTAAGACCGAAGAGCCCTGCCTCCTTAAAGTAGCTTCCCCTGGAAATTGAGAGTATCTTCCTTCTGAGTTTTATGTTCCTCGGGGTCTGTTCTGTCACCTTTGTAGACATGCCATGAGAGAATGTCGCTTTGAGGTAAATTTGGTGTAAAGGGTAGTATCTCCTCTTTCAGATTCACTGAGCAAGTTAGCCTGTCAGCAGTTATGAGACATCTTGCAATAAAGAAACCCACTTCACTTTATGAGGCTCATTAGTTTACAATTTTCTTTGACCAGGCAACACTTAATGTGTTGATACCAGTGTTTTAGGGACCTACTTATTTCCAGGTCTACAAGGCCACCTCTCTGTAGCACTTTTGAATAATGATTACAAGGAGCAAGCTAGAGATCTGAGTAGAGTTCTGATATTTTCTAGAAGGGGGTTTCTTGGTTTGAGTTGATTCTTGTATTGAAAGAGTGTATATTTCAAGACTATTAGATGTGCATTCCAGAACCAAAAGTAAATGGCTTTTAAATTCCTATTTATTATTATCTACAATTTACTTTCCCAGTTATAAATGATTCAGAGTTAGTTATGAAATAGACGGTAGGATCTGAGTTCAAAGATGGGACGTGTGTGTGTATCTTACCCGCTCAGTCATGTCCAGCTCTTTGCGACCCCATGGACGGTAGCCTGCTTGGCTCTTCTGTGCATGGAATTTTCAGGGAAGAATACCGGAGTGGGTGGCCATTTCCATCTCCAGGGGACCTTCCTGACCCAGGGATCAAACCCAGGTCTTCTGCGCTGCAGGCGGATTCTTTACTTTCTGAGCCACCATAGAAGCCCATGTCTTAGGAAAAATGCTTTAGTCTAAAGGACGGGCTTATTCATTTCATTGTATGAATTCTTACAGATGCTGAAACTCTTGGTGAATCTCTCTTGGGTCTTACAGTCTATGGGAGTAATGATCAAGATCCTTATGTCACTCTGAAAGATACGGTAAATATCTGTGTTGTTTTTCTAATTATCCTCCTTAAGTGTTTGAAAAACCTTCCCAAATAGCTGATTCTAATCAATGACTTTTCCTGTCTCCACTTAGGAGCAATATGAACGTGAAGATTTCTTGATTAAGCCCAGTGACAATCTCATAGTTTGTGGCAGAGCTGAACAGGACCAGTGCAATTTAGAGGTGCATGGTAAGTGGAATACATCTCTTACTAAAAGATTCTGTACTTAAGTGATATTAAAATAACCATCATAGTAACTACTATGGATTTCTAGGCACCAGGTCCTGTTGTATCTCATTTTAGTTGATTCTATTCATCTGTCTTAAAATTTTGACGCTTAAAGAGATTATTAGGTTAATACCTTTTTTTATAGGAAACACAGTTACATAGTATGAAAATTAAATCCCTTGGGCTTAATGTTTATTGGCACCTTCTAGGTTACTCCTACTCTATTAACTTGGATTTCTTTACAGCCTTTAAGTTTGTTGCAGTTAGGCCATTTTTATCTCATGGCCCATTGTGATCTATTTATACAATCAAAAGGACTTTAAATAGCAATTATTTCAATGTGAAGTTATTCTTCTAATTATCTTTGAACTTTTTACATATTTTAAATGTAAACCATGTTGGTGGAATTTTTTAAAGACCAATTCCAGTTTCAAAAAATTGGAACTATTACAGTTAGTCATCACTGATTTTTATACATTCTTATTTGAAAGTTTAGTCATTCCTTTGAATCTTGTGATTCACAGGAGCTGAGAAGTTGAAGTAAAGTAATTGTATTCCTGTTTCATTCTAAGTTAGGTCATTAATGATATGTTTTATTTGGATTTGGTGTGAATCTCCCAAGTTACGTGGTGTATCTCTGTTCAGGAATAATTTCAAAATTTCTCTCTAAATCTGAAAAAAAGACATGGTCAAAAGAAGATTGTTTTAAGGTTTCATCGTCATCTTTCTTTAAAATGTAAGCTGAGTACATTGACCATCGTTGAAGTTCTTACAGGACCACAAGTTAATAATTTTGAACACACATTCACATCCTAAAGTGATGTGATAGAACATTACATGGAATCTGCTAGTCCCAAGGTCTACCCCAAATACCATGGTCTGAAGAATTTTTTAAAAATCCTTAGCTCATCTTAAATTGCTTCTTTCTAGTAAAAAGCATATTAAGGGAGAATTTCTGGTTACTTAGGCTCTATGTTTATCAGGGTTTCATTATATAATTTTTAAGATTTCTTACTGATTTTAATAATAAGTATTAAAGAAGCAATTTTTGATAAGCATTTAAATTTCTAAAACTATGAGTTATTTCTCTCCAGTACTGACTTGTTTCGACTTATGACCAAATAGATCTTTAAAAGATAAAATAGTGATGAAGCACTTTTAATGGAGACCGTGTGAGCGTTTTCTGTAGTCGGTGAACCAGAAGGTCGGAGCGTTTTAGCCAGGGAACATGCAGATGGAGCGTTCAGCCTGATGACAATTTTCTGTCAGTGTTTGTGTTCCCCTCTGGGGCTCACCAGGTACTAGGAATATATTAGACATGAAAAACTTTTGCCTAATAGTACATACTTCGGAATTTCTTTAATGTCATCACTTTAAGTGTATTAAATGTATGACTTTAAGCAAGTGACTGCCATAGGTTTAAAAGGGAGTCTCTGTTCTTTTGAGTGGGATATGATTTCTTACTCTGATGTGATAAAGTCTCTTTTCCCAATCTTTTCAGTTTATAATCAAGAAGAAGATTCTTTTTATGTCCACCATGATATCCTGTTGTCTGCATACCCTTTGAGTGTGGAATGGCTAAATTTTGATCCTAGCCCAGATGACTCAACTGGTAATTAGAAAAAGATTGCTCAATGGTTCTACTCCTGTGTGTTTTTCCTAGCTACACATGTCATCTATTTTGTATGAATGTTTCCAGAATGGTTGATGTTTTATGAAGTTACATAGTTTTCAGACCACAGCCACTTAATTGTTTGGGGTCTGTATGTCTCCAGACTTTGAACACGCTAAAGAGGTAGCTGCTCACTAGGTGGAAGGACAGGGCCTGATGAGGGCTCAGAACTGTGAGGAGGTCTCCTGAAAACTGGCATGCTGTGTCCATTGTCATCAGGTAGAGTTCAGTGCACGACCCTTTTCAGAAAACACAAAGTAGAACCAGAATGAAGAGAGAATCAGGCTCTTAGCTTAGTCCCTTTGGCCTTAGCGGCACACTGTTCCTTGCCCCATCATGCTTAATAATTAGGGTAAAAACTGTTAATACTCACACCTCACGTCTTGTTTGCAAAGCTTGTTCACATTCATGATCTAGTCAAATCCTCATCCTCACCACAGCCATGAAGGTAGGAAGGGTTCTGTCATATCAATGAAGACCCTGGGACCAGGAGACGGAGCCCTTGTTACTCACGCTGTGGTCTGAGGACCAGCAGCACAGCATTGCCGCCATCTGCGAACCGGTTATAAATGCAGTTTTAAGGCCCCACCCAAGACCTCTGGAAACAATATGCATTTTAACCACATCCAGGCACATGAAAGTTTGAGAGAACTTGCTCTAAGCCATGAGTCAGTCAGTCTGTATATAATGTATTTCATTAGAAGTTATTTTTTAAATCACAAATGTATCATTTCCTCCTGTAGGAAATTACATTGCTGTGGGAAACATGACCCCTGTTATTGAAGTGTGGGACCTGGATATAGTGGACTCTCTAGAGCCAGTCTTCACACTTGGAAGTAAGCTGTCGAAAAAGAAGAAAAAGAAAGGAAAGAAGGTAAACAAGCTAATAGATAGTTAAACTCTAATGATAAATAGAAATAGGTTTGGGGGGAGGTGGGAGCAGGGGCTGAGAATGTGCGCTGTTTCAGTTAGACAGTTTTGGTGGAATAAGATAAAGTAGTTACAGAGTTACTGTAGTTTCTAGTTTCAGAAGGCCCATCCAAGGAAAGAGCGATTTCTGATTACATATAACCTACACTAGCACATTTTTTCCTGTGCTAGCGTGGTTACTCTTAGATTATGATCCTCCTTATGTATAGTAGCTATTCACACTAATATGCTACTTTTGAACTTTTAAAATGTTTCTCTTTAGCCTTGAGTATATTGAATTCTAAATATCCTTGTATTCCTATAACTTTTAAAATTTTGGTGAGGGAGAGATGGGTTGGGGGTTGATTTATAGAATTATAACAGATTAAGAACTACTATAGTTTCTTCCCTGTAAAGAACATTTATCATATCTCTGAAGTAAGAGGGAGACAAGGTGTTTCTTTCCCTAGATCTTGGAGCAAGTTTATGTAAGATCAGAATAATCTTAAGGTTTTAAAGAATCTTTCAAATTAATAAACCAATTTTATTGGGGGGATGCTTTAATACCACAAGTAATTAAACAATTATTACAGAATTCCTCAGCAGATGGGCATACAGATGCTGTCCTTGACCTTTCTTGGAATAAGCTGGTCAGGTAAGAAGAAATACTATTTGAAGGCTTGTTAAAGACTGTAACCACTGTGATTTTGCCTCACGTCTTCATTCAATCTCTCTACATTGTGTTTTCACATCTTTATGTCCTTGTTTTCTTTTCTTTCCCTGCAGTATACCTTGCTGGGAGGCAGGAATGCTGCTATCTGTATCCTTGCAACCCCCCCCTCACCTGCCGTGTCTTCACTTGGTAGATGCTCATTACCTGTGTGGGGACCAGGTGCCCTTCTTCCAGCACCGCTGGGAAAAGCAGCATGTACTCAGTTGCCGTGCTAGTGGTGTGGGAGAATGGTTACTGCAAGGAAGACATTTTTCTCATGTCGTTTAGTTTTGACAACATCTTGTCCACATATTCTTTTTTTGTAAAATGCTATCATTTCAACCGTGTTTAGGTGTACAGTTTTTTAGACACAGTTTTTCTGGACATCTCACACATTGTTGTGCAATCATTACCACCATTCAACTCCAGAAGTTTTTCTTCTTCCAAAACTGAAACTATATGCCCAATAAACAGTAACTCCCCATTTCCTGCCCACCCACGCCTTAGTAACCACCATTCTGCTTTCTGTCTCTGAGTCGACTTCTCCAGGTACCTCTTATAAGTGGAATCATATAGTATCTGTCTTCTTGTGACTGGCTTATTTCACTTAGGAAAAGGTTCATCCATGTTGTAGCGTATAGCAGGAGTTCCTTCCTTTTTAAGACCAAATGATACTCCATTGTACATATATGCCATATTTTTGTTTATCCATCTGTTATGGACACCTGGGCTGTTTCCACTTCTTGGCTCTTGTGAATAATGCTGGTGTCATTCACATATGTATAATAACATGGGTTTACATGTATTTGTTAGAGTCCCTCCTCTGAGTTCTTTTGAATATACAGCTAAAATTAAAATTGCTGGAACTAATGGTATTTCTACATTTAACTTCTTGAAAAACCACCATACTGTTTTCTATAGCAGTTGCACTGTTTACCTTCCAACCAGCAGTGCACAAGGGTTCCAGTTTCTCCACATCCTTTTGAACACTTGATACCTGGTGTTTTTGTTATTGTTGTCTTTGTAATAGCCATCCTAACTGGTGTGAAGTGGTATCTCATTGTAGCTTTGAGTTGCATTTCCCTAGTGATTAGTGATGTCAAGTATCTTTTCCAGCACTTGTTGGCCATTTGTATATCTTCTTTGGAGAAATGTCTATCCAAATCCTTCTGTCCATTTTTTTAGTTGTTTGGTTTTTTTTTTTTTTGCTGTTATAAATAAATGAAATGTGGTTTCCTTGGTGGCTCAGATGGTAAGGAATCTGCCTGCAACGCAGGAGACCCAGGTTTGATCCCTAAGCTGGGAAGATCCTCTTTGCTATTAAGTTGTAGGAGTTCTTTATATATTCTGAAAATTAATCTCTTAAGAGATCTGTGATTTGCCGGTATTTTCCCCCATTCAGTGGATTGACTTTAACCCTGTTGAAGTGTCCTTCAAAGCACAGAAGTTTTTCATTTTGATGTGGTGCAGTTCATTTTCACTTTTGTTGCCTGTGCTTTTAATGTAATGGAGAAGGAAATGGCAGCCCACTCCAGTACTGAAGGATCCCATGGACGGAAGAGCCTGGTGGGCTACAGTCCACGGGGTTGCAAAGAGTTGGACATGACTGAGCGACGTCACATTCTCATTAGTGTAATAGTGAAGAAATCATTGGCAAATCCACTGTCACGAAGATTTTTATCCCTTAAAGTTTTATAGTTTTAGCTCTTAGGTTTAAGTCTTTGATATATTTTGAGTTATTTTGTATACTCTGTAAGGTAAGAGTTCAACTTAATTCTTTTTTGTGTCATCCATGTATTTTTTATACTTATTACCTCAAAAGGGCCATTTTCCTAATAGTACAGTTGGTTTGAGGGGCTACTGAGGCAAGGAAGGTAAGCATTAGGATGAGTACAACTTACTTAGAGGGGAAGAACAAACTTGATTACCCAAGACAGTTTTTTAAAGGCATTTCTATTACACTGAACACTTCATAATTTGAGCACTCTAAGGAAGATCCCAGAGTGCTAGCTTACTGAAGGATATCCTTCCTGTCTTCTCATTTGTGTTCAGACCTCTACAGAGCTACAGCTATTTGGGGAAATGGACTTGAGAACATTGTTTAGGTTAGTATTTCCCAAACTTAGCTGCAAATCAGAACCTCTGGGTAACCTCTCAGTATATTGAAAAATCTTGCATTTCTTTTGTTAAATTTATTCCTAGGTATTTTATTTTATTTTTTGGTAGGGTTATAAGCGGAACTCTTACATGCAGTGCTCTTGATTTTTAAAAGATTACCCGATTTGTTTCCTCCCTTTCTCAGAAATGTGCTGGCCAGTGCATCAGCTGATAACACTGTTATTCTGTGGGATATGTCCTTGGGGAAGCCAGCAGCTAGCCTTGCCGTACACACAGACAAGGTATAGTGATTTCGTGGATAAGAGGGATTCTAAAAAGCTGGGACATATATTGACTACAACAAATAATCCCAAACATTTATATATGACTTTTTGTGAATTACAAAGTACTTTGACATGCTAGCCCACTGGATCTTCACAGAGCCCTTTGTGATAGTTATAATTATTATCCTCTTGAGCTGTGCAAAAATAGGTACCAAAAGGTAAAGTGACTAGGAACATTAGTGCTTTGCAACAATTTTTACAGAGGTTTCTAGAAAGGAATGAAGGGTGTCAGTCACATAATAGGGTTAAGAATTTAACAGTTGATACTGCAGAACCCAGGGATCTAATGTGCTAATGCATGTTGTGAAACTTCCAGAACGTGTAGCATTGCCCAGTAAGTTTGACCACTCCCCTTTTTCTTCTGACTATACTTTAACATCTGAGGGACATATGTATTCTGCCTAGCACAATTTGGGGAATACTGCATTGGGTCTTTTAAGTATCAGCCTTTATTTAGAAGTATGTTTTGTCCTTCTGATTATGTAGTACATTTATGCTTCTTCACGTAATACATTTCAAAGGAAAGAATTTGTAGGAACACTACTAAGTTGATTCCCATCATGTATTAGGCAGTTTTACCAAAACCAAACATTTATCTATTAATTTATGTTTCTTCCTCTTAGGTCCAGACTCTGCAGTTTCATCCATTTGAAGCACAGACTCTGATTTCTGGATCATATGATAAGTAAGAAAGCATTTTAGGAATTAATTGTTGTTGGTTTTTTCCCTCTTGAACTAACTCAGAAAGTATCACTGAATGTTCAGATAGAATTTATTACTGTGGCTTTTATGTGTTTAAATTTTTAGTAGTACTTATTTGTCCTTTCAGCTTGATCCTCTCAGTCTGCAAGGGAATATGGTTCTGTTGTAATTCCTAACATCTCCTTCAATTTTTAGAGGGTGTATGAGTTGGATGTTGCTCTGAAGCAAGCCATCCCCAAATTCAGTGTCTTAAGTGATGAATATTTGCTGCTTGTTCTGTGCAAGGTTGAGCTAATCAAGGCTAGATTCAACTGATAGCTCTACTAATCTTGATTTGTTTAGGCCCAGAGACTCTCCTGTTTCACATCCTTCTAAAACTAGCAGGCTAGTCCACATATGTTGCCACAGCAAGGTCAGTAGTACAAACAGAGACACCAAGGCCTCTTAGACATGGGCTCAGACCTACTACACATCTGTCTTACTCTAGGCTGAAACAGACATCACATGGAGTGGAAAATGAACTCTGCCTTTAGGGGAGGCACTCCTAGATCACTGACAGAGGGCATGGATGTGGGGAGAGATGAAGAATTGGGACCGCTGCAGTCCATCACAGGGGGTTTCCAAATCATGTGTGTGCTCTTTACAGATTGGAGATGGGAGAGGTAGCTAATAAAAACAGAAAATAAGTTGCAGTCTTTTATTTTGTATCCTTATCCTTTTGTAGTTGGGATTGATGCAAAAATACACAAGTCTGTTCATCTGTTCCCCCAACACAGTAACCTGCTTGTAGAGAGTAAATGTGACTGAGACATGTTACCTGGCTTCCCTCATAGCTCAGGTGGTAAAGAATCCTCCTGCAATGCAGGAGACCCCGGTTCGATTCCTGGGTCTGGAAGATCTGCTGGAGAAAGGACAGGCTACCCACTCTAGTATTCTTGGGCTTCCCTTGTGGCTCAGCTGGTAAAAAATCCACCTGCAATGCGGGAGCCTGAGGTTGGATCCCTGATTTGGGAAGATCCCATGGAGAAGGGAAAGGCTACCCATTCCAGTATTCTGTCCTAGAGAATCCCATGGACAGTGTATAGTCCATGGGGTCACAAACAGTTGGACACATCTGAGTGACTTTCACTTCATTCATCTGTTCCCCCAACATGGTAACCTGCTTATAGAGAGTAAATGTGGCTAAGACTGGCTCTGAGCAGTATTGGAGAAAGACAGATTAGAAATTGTCCTTTTCTTTGGGCAATGGAGACGATTCGTCTTTGAAATAGAGGATTCAGTCTGGGGGAAGTCAAGGCCACTGTGACATCTGGAGCCACCAGTGTCTTCAAGTGACAGGACCAGAGTTCACCAGTTAGTAAGAAGCAACTCATCTGTTTTTTTAGAACCTTAAAATAGGCTGTAGATAATTGGGTGGGGGTTATTGAACTCTTAAAACCCTAACTTTGCCTGGACATGCCCAGGTCCGTGGCTCTGTATGACTGCCGGAGTCCGGAGGAGAGCCACCGGATGTGGCGCTTCAGTGGGCAGATTGAGAGAGTGACTTGGAACCACTTTTCACCGTGTCATTTTTTGGTAAGAATATGCATATTACTGTTTATTAATGACTTATTTTCTTTACTTCCGTTGTAGAAAAGCTTTTTCTATATCAATGGTGTGAAGTATTTGCATTTGGGGTTTTTTTTTTTTTTAAAAAAGATCTCTTTTAACAAGAGAACAATGAATTCACCACAAAAAAAATGGTAAACATGTAAATAATTTTGCTAATTTCTAACCATTCCAAAGCATGCCACATTTTTTAGCTGTAATAATGAGTTGATCATTGTAAAATTATTTTGTAATACTGAGCATGACAAATACTAAGCAGGCACACGTATTTTCTAGGTTATTTGCTAACATGGTTATCAGTACTAAAATCACAAAAATTCATTTTGTTTCCAATGATTAAGTCAGTTCAAGAAAATTTTCCTTTATTTAAATATTAGTACTTAAATGGAGCTCCAGTGATGCTAATGCTAGCATGTTTAATTAATATAGCACTTACACCTCCTCTGGTGATCCGGACAGTAAAGAATTTGCCTGCAGTGTAGGAAACCCAGGTTCGATCCCTGAGTTGGGAACACCCCCTGGAGAAGGAAATGGCAACCCACTCCAGTATTCTTGCCTGGAGAATTAATTCCATGGACAGAGAAGCCTGGTGGGCTATAGTCCATAGGGTCACAAAGAGTCAAAAACGACTGAGTGACTTAACACTTACTTACTAATGTACTACTGTCTCCCAGATGGGAAGAAAGTTTATGATCATTTTGTGAATACCCATAATATCTGCAGAGAACAGTTTTCCATGTTGCATCCAAAGATGCCACTGATATTTCAGTTCATGGAAAAATAAAATCCCAGCTTTTATCTAGAAGCAAAGGTATCATGTATTTCCTAATTCTCCTAAAGCAAATATCTAGCGCTTTATAAATGAGGGACAGAATTCTTTGGCAAAAAAAACACAACTTTATTTGAATATGTGAGGTTTCAGTAAGGTTCCTGCAGTTGTGATTCTGGGGGCATATCATCTCAACCCCGTGCAGAGGTGCGTGCAGCTCCCAGCCTGAGCCACCTCAAGCCAGATCCCATCTTGCAGTATCTCAGGTGAAGTCCCAGTTACATTGGAAAGCTGGCTCTCAGCAGGCAGGCGCACACATGTCCTAGGTTATTTGCTGCCAAATGGTTATCAGCCCTAAAATCACAAACATTTAAGGAAATGGAAAGTAATCAAAGTAAAATGGTGTACCTCCATCCCTCAAGTCTCAAAAGATGAAATGCCCCTCCTTTTCCTTTTTTGTGCCCATTACAGCCCCACCTATAAAACTGCATCAGTTGTCCCTTTTTTTGCCACTCTTTCCTGACTCTTGCCCTTGGCCTATATATAGGCTCAAGTCTCTGTCTCCCATCAGTGACCAGGTCTGTCTCTTAATCCCTTCAACGTTTTCTCTTCCTTTCTTGAAAACGGAACTGTAATCTGCCTTTCAGTCCTTTCCTGATTACACCTCTTTGCCCAAACACTGACAGCATTGTCACTTTCTTTAGAAGCCTTGCTTCCTTGGGTTCTTTGTTGTTTTCCCTTCTCTCTTTGACTCTGACTTCCGTGAGCTCCTCCTCAGCCTTTACCGTGAGTGGCGTGTTCTCCAGGCCTCTGTCCTCACACGGCGCTCTCAATTCTGCACTCACAGAGCAAATCCCTTCTCTTCTCATGGATATAACTTCTGCCTCTGTGCCACAGTATTTCTAATCCCAGTCTGTATTAACTACCATTGCTTCATACTCATATCCAACTTCCTAATAGACATGTCAGCTAAACTAGTCCTTGTAAGAGCCAACTCAGCTTACCACAAGTGAATTCTTTATGTCCATGTGAATTTTTAATAAGCATCTCAGGTATGTCAGGTCCATAGCTGATTTTCACAAGGATTTACACTATTTACCCATTGCTAAATTTTATTATCATGTAACATTGCTGTGCTCATCTTTTACTCTTTCCAGGCCAGTACAGATGATGGCTTTGTATATAATTTGGATGCACGTTCAGATAAGCCAATTTTTACACTTAACGCACACAATGATGAAATTTCTGGTGAGCAAGAATATAGTTTCTTTCATTTCTGTTAACCTATGATGAAGTAAATTTATTTCAAAGTGAGAGTCCCTGAACTAGTCTTATCTTCCTCTAGGTCTTGATCTAAGCAGTCAAATCAAGGGCTGTCTTGTGACTGCATCAGCAGACAAGTACGTGAAGATCTGGGACATATTAGGAGACAGGCCAAGTCTGGTTCACTCTCGCGATATGAAAATGGTAAGAATACTCATGGGCATCTTGGTTCTTTCTGTTTCTGATCTGTTGTTCTCTAGGAATCACTGCACAAAAGAATATGGATTTGTTGGGAAGTTAATTTGGGGCTTAGTCAAATTGTGGAAGTTTTCTAATTTAGGGCAATTTGGGGAGAAATCAATGACTGTCTGGTTCCTTTTCCAACTTTCATGATTAACAGTTGCTTGTGGAAAACCAGGATGAGGAGGAGGTGGTTTTCCAGTACAGAAGTGAAATGGCTACAAATTGTTTTTACAACTTTACAGTGGAGTATGGTTGATGAACAATGTTGTTTCAGGTGTCAGCAAAGTGATTCAGTTATACTTACACATGTATGTACTCTTTTTCAAGTTATTTTCCCATTAAGATTGTTACATAATATTAAGCAGACTTCCCTGTGCATTGCAGTAGGTCCTTGTTGGTTATCCATCTGAAATACAGCAGTGTGCGCATGTCACTTCCTAACTCCCACCCCTGCCCCCATTCCCTGCTGGCAACTGTATGCTCCACAGTTTTTTAACCTTAAAATCAAGCCCATCTCTGAAAATCTTGAACCTTTTAGGGCACCACAGCTGTTGAGGTCAGTTTATCACCTACCTCTTTGTATAACTATTTAATAGTTCTTACTACACTGAAATTACTACATAGTAGCAAAAGTTTTAGAAATGATTAGAATTCAACAATTCATCAAATATTTATTGAGTATAGTGTATACCAGGCATTATAAAAATTCAGCTGTAGACATAGAACACTATACAATTGTTTAAAACTGTATACATGAATGTTTGTGTATTTTAAAATATGGGTAGGCAGTTTTATAGAGCATTTTTTCCAAGTATTTATCTTAATTGAAGGATAATTACTTTACAATACTGTGATGGTTTTTGCCATATATCAATATGAATTGGCCATAGGTATACATGCCCCCCCCATCCTGAACACCCCTCCCCACCTACAGAGCAGTTCTCATAGTATTATCCCATGCATATATTTAAATACTTAAGTTTTCAATGCTTATATGTAATTCTAGAAGACCCTGTGCCAAAACATGAACAGCTGATTATCTCAGAGTTATTTTTATACTTCGTGTTTATATTTTCTATGATGCATGTAGGCTTCCCTGATAGCTCAGCTGGTAAAGAATCCTCCTGCGATGCAGGAGACCCCAGTTCGATTCCTGGGTCGGGAAGATCCCCTGGAGAAGGGAAAGGCTATGATGCATGTGTTATCTAGTAATAGAGTTAAAAAACAAAACATTAAACTTTTAACATTAAATGATTGTACTATAGCATTATTACTTAAAAAGGAGAATTCGTTTCTGGGAGTATTAAGCAGATCAGATTTACTAGGAAATCCCTATTAGATGATAACAGAGATGTGAGCCTGAGTGGTCAGAGCATGCACCCAGTCTCACAGAGATAATCCCACCAACTTGACTGTTTTGACTGTGAAGTACCTTTACAGGAGCCCTGAAGGAGATTCTGGTGGGTTGGTTTTCAGTGACCTTCAATCGTAGGGTCTTGTCGACAGGAGTAGGGAATCGAGATTAGCGCTTTCTGGGAAGATTGAAATCACTGACTGTATTCTCTTCTCAGGGAGTTCTCTTCTGTTCTTCCTGTTGCCCTGATTTGCCATTTATTTATGCTTTTGGAGGTCAGAAGGAAGGGCTTCGGGTCTGGGATATAAGCACAGTCTCTTCAGGTAAGAATCTTAATTTCCTGCTTTTTCTGGGTAAGTTCTGTAAGAGCAACATAGAACGTGTGGCTTGAATACATCAGGGAGACGGCAAAGGCAGACCCAGTGTTCATCCTCCAGTACAGTCGCTGAGGAAACCGACAAGACCAAATTGTAATGTGGAGATGCTCATATTCACAAATAAGTTTGTCTTCATACTTTAATTTTAAAATATCTATGACAAAACTTGAATTTTAAAAACGAAATATTTTATTGGCAAGCTGGAAGGGTATATAGTATGGTCTCCTCTCCCACATTCCCAAAATCCAGCTTCCCTGAAGGGGCCAGGTTCTCTTCTATTACTTTGATGTAATTTGGAATGCTGTAGCCCCACTCTGATTCCTGCATCTTCAATTCCCTGAAGAAAACAAGTCCTAAATCCCCAAAACAGTTCTATTGTGGTCATGATACAGAGAAAGATGAAGGCAGGAAATAATCAGAATTAGGTGTAATAAGGGAAGGACGGAGTCACTGTCATGAGGGATTGGACATTTGTTATCAAGGTGGATTCAATAAATCTAGGACAAGGCAAAGAAAGTAAAGTATAAAAAAAAAAGTAGACCAGTATAAAACAGTTAACCTCATTCAGAACATTATTTTAGACTTTGAATTGGTTACTTTCCAATTTATAAAGTGCTAAACATGTTTTTCAAAACAAAATCTCCCACAACAGGGTAGAGAACCTCATTGCTCATTTTTTATATTATCGGGTCTCAATTTTCTGATCTGGTAGTTTCTTAACCATTTATTTTATGTTTTAGTAAATGAAGCATTTGGAAGACGAGAGAGGCTTGTTCTCGGCAATGCAAGAACTTCGTCTATTAGCGGCCCCTTTGGGAACAGGAGCTCAGAAACACCAATGGAGTCTTAAGGAAGATCATACAGTTTGCTGTTTTATTTATCCTAACTCAGTTTTAAAAAGCTGGCCTAAAGATGCTCCCTGTGTAGCTGCAGCCGTCCAGGTGACTGAAGCAGAGCTGCCTGACGTCCCTCCTTGCAGCTGTGGGGCAGCACTCGGGGCTGGTCTCTGTGCTGACCTTTCAAGCGTGTGGCATACAGGGCTCCACTTGCATTCACTTCTTGAAAGGAGGAATAAAAAGGTTTTTAGAAATTCATTCCTTAAATGTGCCATCTGTCACAGGTAGTCTAGGATGTAAAATAAGTAGTACTTCGTGGAATTTGAAAAGGAGAAAATCCTGTAATCTTAAGAGATGGGTAAACCTAAGCCTTGGAAGGTGGTGATTAGGCCAAGGGTCCATGGGGGACCACACTTTCCTGACAATTGTTCTCCAGTTAATGCTCAGTATTGAGAAGTCTCAGTGCTGCTCTTCTATAAGTGGCATGCCTTTTCTGTCCACAGCATGGTATTCAGTGTTACCAAACAAAAGAGATATAATGATAAAGGGTTCAGTCCAAAAGAGGATATAACATTTGTAAATAAAGCAAATAGTAAGTGATTCATTAGACCAAATGGACTCAGATAATACATGGAATATTCCATCCAAAAGCAACAGAATACACAGATCATGTGATGTTACACCACAAAGACAAGTCTCAATAAATTAAAAATCTTATAAAACATCTTTTCTGACTACAGTATTATAACATTAGAAATCAGAAGAAAAAAAATGGGAAAATTTTACAAACGTGGAGATTAAACAACATGCTACTAAACAACTAATGTGTCAGAAGAAATCGAACAATGAAAATAAAACATATCATAATTTATGGGCTACAGCAAGAGTAGTTAAGGAAAGTTCCTAGCAATAAATGCCTACAATCAAGAAAAAAGATTTCAAACCACCTCACTTTACATCTCAAGGAACTAGGGAAAAAAAGCCCAAACTTAGGAAGGGAAAAGGTCAGCATGGGAAATGGAATAGAAACCAAAAAGACTAGAAAATATAAATGAAACCAAGAGCTGTTTTTTTGGAAAGGTTAAACTGACAAACCTTTACTTGACTCAGTAAGGAAAAGAGAGACAAGGACTTAGAACTGAAAGGGAAAATGTTATATACACCTTGATACCCCAGAAATACACAGGATAATAAGAGACTTCTATGAGCAACTGTATACCAACAAATACCAAGACTGAATGATGAAAAAATAGAAAATCTGAACATACCAATTACTAGCAAGAATGCTGAATCACTAAACAAAAACCTCCCACCGAAGTCCCAGACCAGATGGCTTCACTGGTGAATTATATATATTAAACAAGCTAACTTTTAAACCAATCCTCAAACTTCCATAAAATAGAAGGGAATACTTCCAAACTCATTTTAGAAGGCCAGCATTACCCTGATACCAAAACCAGGTAAGGATGCCACAAGAAAAGAAAATTAAAGGTTAATATTGAGAAATCTACAAAGTATTAGCAAACTGAATTCAGCAACACATTAAAACGATCATACTCCGTGATTAAGATTTACCTCAGGGATGCAAGAGTGGTTCAACATCCGCAAATCAATTAATGATACCACATCAATTAATATGAGACCACATTAACAAAAAAGTCATACCTGACAATTCAACATCCACTTATGATAAAGCAGGTACAAAGGGAATGTACCTCAACATAAAGGCTGTATGTGACAAGCCCATAGCTAACACTCAATGGTGAAAAGTTGAAAGCTTTTCCTTGAAGATTAGGAAGAAGACAAGGATGCCTTCAACTTAAAATTTTTATTCAGTGTAGTATTGGAACCCTTAGCCAGAGCAGGAAAAATAAAAAGCATCCAAATCAGAAAGTAGTAAAATCATCACTGTTTATAGATGACAAGTATAGAAAACCCTAAAAACGCTACAAAAAAAACTTAGAACTAATAAATTCAGTAAAGTTGCAGGATACAAAATCAATACACAAATCTGTTGCAGCTCTATACACCAATAAACTATCAGAAAAAGAAATTAAGGCAATCCCATTCACAACTGCATTAAAAAGGATAAACTACCTAAGAATAAATTCAACCAAGGAGGTAAAAAATCCATACATTTAAAACTAAGACACTGAGGAAAGAAACCAAAGACACAAGTAAGTGGAAAGATATTCAGTGCTCACGGATTAGATGAATACTATTGAAATGCATAAACTAACCAGAGCAGTCCACATCTTCAGTACAACCCATTTTAAAATTCAAATGGCATTTTTCATGAAAATTGAATAAATAATCCTAAAATTTGTGGGGAACCAGAAAAGATCCTAAATAGTCAAATCTTGAGAAAGAAAAAAGCTAAAGGCACATGCTTCTTGAGTTCAAACTATATCACAAAGCTATAGTAATCAACACTGGCATAAAAACACATAGCCGAATGGAATAGACAACCCAGAAATAAACCCACATGTGGTTTATTTACAAAAAGCAAGGACATACAGTGGGAAAGGGCAATCTCTTTAATAAAAGTTGTTGGGAAACTGGACCACACACAAAAAATGTACTCAAAGACCTGACTAGTAGACCTGTAGACCATAACACCCAGTCACTCAGTCCTGTCTGACTCTGCGACCCCATGGACTGCAGCACACCAGGCCTCCCTGTCCATCACCAACTCCCGGAGCTTACTCCAACTCATGTCCATTGAGTTGGTGATGCCATCCAACCATCTCATCCTCTGTCATCCCCTTCTCCTCCCCCCTTCAATCTTTCCCAGCATCAGGGTCTTTTCAAATAAGTCAGTGCTTCGCATCAGATGGCCAAGGTATTGGAGCTTCAGCTTCAGCATCAGTCCTTCCAATGAATATTCAGGACTGATTTCCTTTAGGATGCACTGGTTGGATCTCCTTGCAGTCCAAGGGACTCTTAAGAGTCTTCTCCAACACCACAGTTCAAAAGCATCAATTCTTTGGCACTCAGCTTTCTTTATAGTCAAACTCTCATATCCATACATGACTACTGGATACATACGCACTAATTTCCTTGACATTGGTTAGAAAAAGCAAAAGGAAAAAAAGTAAAATAAAAACGTTGGACTACATCAAACTAAAAAGCATCTATGCAACAAATGAAACCAAAAAATGAAAAGGCAATCTACAGGATGGGAGAAAATATTTGCAATTATATACCTGATAAGGAGTTGAGATCCAAAGTATATCAAAAATTCATACGACTCAAGAGCAAAAACAATCCAGTTTAAAAATGGACAGAGGATCTGAATAGACAGTTTTCCAAAGACATACAGAAGCCATAGGTACATGAAACGGAACTCAACATTACTAATCATTCAGTAAGTGCAAATCAAAACTACAATTGGATACCACCTGATACCTGCTGGAATGACTATTAATCAAAACAAATAATATGTTTCAGCAAAGATTTGGCGAAAAGGGAGTGTAAACTGGCACAAATACTACAGAAAACGGATGGAGGTGCAGCTACTCAGAAAATTAAAGGCCATGCTAATGTCTGATCCGGGAATTCTACATCTATGTATTCAATTGAAGAAAATGGAAACACTTAACTCGAACAGAAAGATGTAACACCAGTGTTCACTGCAGTGTTACTTACAATAGCCAAGACACAGAAACAAGCTATGGATGGATGAATAAAGAAAATGTATACACACAAACACACACACACACAAACTAGTCATAAAAAAGAAGGAAATCCTGCTGTTCCTGACATGGATGTACCTTGAGGGCATTATGTTATGTGAAGTAAATCAGAGAAAGACAAATATTGAACTGTATGATTTCACTTCTATGTGGAATCTAAAAAAAAAAACAAAACACTACCACTCAAGATGATAGCTACAGAGAAGAAACTGGTCGTTGCCAGAAATGGGGGGAGTGGGTGAAATGGGTAAAGGGGATCAAAAGGTATAAATTTCCAGTTATAAAATTAAGTTGTGGGGATGTAATACATAGCTTGGTGACAATAGTTACTAACACTGTGCTACATATTTGAAAGTTGCAAGGGTAAATTTTTAAAGTTCTCCTCATAAAAATTGTGTTGAATGATGTTAACTAGGACTTACTGTGGTAATTCACAATATAGGCAAAATTAATCATTATGTTATACATCTGAAACTAATGTTATATATTAATAAAAAAGGGAAAGAATGTAAACCAGTAAGGGTGTGCACCTTTAAGCAAAAGACAAAATGTATCTTAACTGCCTCTGTCAGTAGACAAAGTGTATTACTTCGCCCAAACTTTATTTCTCCTAAAAGAACTTCCTCTCCTCCAGTATGAGTTAAATACAACAAAAAAGCAATGATACAACTATATTAAAAGTGAAGACTCAGAGTGCCCTAGAGCTCTGTGGCAGGTTAACTGGGAGTACTCTCTGAAACAAAATCTGTAATAAACAGGGAACAGAATTATGTGGTGGTAAGTCAGACTTTATTTTTTGGGGCTCCAAAATGACTGCAGATGGTGACTGCAGCCATGAAATTAAAAGACGCTTACTCCTTGGAAGGAAAGTTATGACCATCCTAGATAGCATATTAAAAAGCAGAGACATGACTTTGCCAACAAAGGTCCGTCTGGTCAAGGCTATGGTTTTTCCAGTGGTCAGGTATGGATGTGACAGTTGGACTGTGAAGAAAGCTGAGTGCCGAAAAATTGATGCTTTTGAACTATGGTGTTGGAGAAGATTCTTGAGAGTCCCTTGGACTGCAAGGAGATCCAACCAGTCCATCCTGAAGGAGATAATTCCTGGGTGTTCATTGGAAGGACTGATGCTGAAGCTGAAACTCCAGTACTTTGGCCACCTCATGTGAAGAGTTGACTCATTGGAAAAGACCCTGATGCTGGGAGGGATTGGGGGAGGAAGGCGGAGGGGATGACAGAGGATGAGATGGCTGGATGGCATCACCGACTCGATGGGCATGAGTTTGAGTCAACTCCGGGAGTTGGTGGTGGACAGGGAG